CCCCAAACACCCCCCCCCTCCCTATCCGGGCTGGCCCTCCCCATGCCAGGCAAGGCCACCACCCCCCCCACCCCAGAGCAGGCCGTGTCCCTCAGGGCCACCAGCGGCCGTACCGCACAGTGAGCGCCCGCGCGGCCGAGGACTCCACCATCCTGCGCCTGCCCGTCGAGGCCTTCTCTGCCATCTTCGAGAAGTACCCCGAGAGCCTGGTGCGGGTGGTGCAGGTGAGGTCGGGGCTGGGTGGGACGGCAGGGGAGTGTCCCCTGGGGTGACAGGGATGTCACTGGTGTGTCCTCTTGTCCCCCCACCCCACGATTTCAGATCATCATGGTGCGCCTGCAGCGCGTCACCTTCCTGGCCTTGCACAACTACCTGGGCTTGACCAACGAGCTCTTCAGCCACGTGAGTCCCACCTGGGGTTGGGGGGGGTGGGGAAAATCAGGGCAAAATTGGTGTAAAAAGAATAATTTCCTTCTCAAACTTCTTCTTCTGGGAGAGAGCAGTTGTGGAGCGGCCGGATCCCGTTTTAGACCGGGATTGGGTCAAAATTCAATTAATTACAGGGGTGGGGTTTGAACCCCTGTTGTCCCCCCCTGGGTTTTTTTGGCAAAATGGGAATGTTCATATGGAAATAGTTATTAGAGAAACAGTGGGGTGAATGTTTGTGTGATAAATGTGTAATAAGTAAGAAGCGTTTCAGTAAAGTGAGTTGTTTATTAGGACAAGCGATCACACAAAAGGTCTTAATCAGGGTTGTAGTAAATATATAATAATAATTTATATTTATAATATAATAATTTATATTTATGTTATATTTATGTTATATTTATATTATATTTATAATGTAATAATTTATATTTTATATAGTAATAATTTATATTTTATATTATAGTTCACTATACTGAAGTAATTATATTAAATAATATATGGTTTATATATAATTATATAAATTTAGCATTATATATTTTATATATGCTATATGTTGAAAAATTAGTTATATGCTACAGATGAAATCTTAAATGTTATCATTTGGACGTGACCTCATTGCCCCAGAAACGTCCTTCCCATCGTCCCACCCTCACCACACCTCCCCAAATTTGAGTGGGGGGGGGGGGTCCCAAAACCACCCCCCTTTTCCTCCCCCACCTTCATTGTCCTCATCATCATCATCCCTGCCCTCCTTGGAAGGCCTTCCAGGCTCCCCAGGAGTTTTGACCTGGTCACATCAAGAATTGCCCCTCGTTCTGAGCTCATTTTCCCCCCCTTGGGATGTTTTCCACCTCATTAAAATCTTTGGGGTTTCTGGACAAGAAGCGTTAAAGAACATTTTAGGAACCCGACGCGGAGGTGCTGGAAGAAAGAGCCGGGCTGAGATTCGACGGGATGCAGTTTTTATATCGTGAGAGTTTGAGGGCATCATCATCTCCCTCCATCTGCAGGACATGCAGCCCCTGAAGCTCTTCCCCCAACCCGGCCACGCCGCCCGCACCAGCCCCGTCCGGCACAGCAAGAGGGGCCTGGGCAGCACCGACGAGGGCCGGGAGCAGGGTAAGGCTGCCAGGGGAAGGTGCTGGGACCCTCCCCCCTGGGGTTGGGGGGGATGGATGAAGGGGCTCTGCTGCTCCCTGGGTGCTCAGAGTTGGCGGGGGGGGTTTTATTGTCCAGCTGAGCTGCTGAAAAGCGCGGGACTGGAGACCCCGGTGGTGCCGCCGCCGCCCCCCCTGAGCCGCTGCATCTCCATGCCCGTGGATATCTCCGGTGGGTTTGGGGGGGTGTAGGTCGGGGGAGAGATGGGGACACCCAGGGGACAGGCAGGGACACCCAGGGGACAGGCAGGGACATGCAGGGGACACCCAGGG